ATTTTTAGTTGTCCAATTCATTTCCTTCTATTTTTAGTAGAGACGGGGACTCGCTCTTGCTCAGGCTGGTCTCAAACTCCTGACCTTCAGCGATCCTCCCGCCTCGGCCTCCCAGAGGGCTAGGATGACAGGCGTGAGCCTCTGCGCCCGGCCTATCAATTATTTTTAAGAGCCAGTCGGTTCATAAAGGAGTAATGGTAGTTGATAATTAGCGCTCTCCTTTATAAACAAGAACAAGAACACAAGGCAGCGGCTGGGTGTCAGAGTGCTCAGAGCCCAGCGCGGGCTCTGCCCCAGCTCCCGACGTGGAACGGCCGTATCTGCACCTGCCGACGGAGCTCAACTCGTACCGTGAGGAGGGAAGTTAAAGCTCTAGACGACACCTGGGAACAGGAGGGCCTTTCTGCAGGACCAACAGCACAGCAGAGGTCCCGGTGTGGACGCCCGAGCCCGCGCGGGAAGGCGCCGTGAGGCCATGTCACACGCGGCCGCGACACCCACCTGGGAAGTACCGCTCCGGGACTTTGGAAATGTAGAAAGCTGGGACTACAGGCATGGCCACCATTGCCCGGCTGATTTTTTTCCTATTATATATTTTTAGTTGGCCAATTAATTTCTTTCTATTTATAGTAGAGACGGGTCTCGCTCTTGCTCAGGGTGTCTCGGACTCCTGACTCGAGCTATCCTCCTTGCCTCGGCCTCCCAGAGCGCTGGGATGACAGGCGTGAGCACCGGGCCGGCAAGACTAGTACTCCTAAGGGTGGGGCTCTAACAGAAAGCTGGCTTCTCAACCGATGGGCGCCTTCAGGTGTGGTGGCTGCAGACAGAAAGCCAGCGGTTCCCAAAGGCGGAATCCTCACGTGATCACAGGTCATTCATCCAGGAGGAAACTTCAGAGAAATTCTCTGGATAAGCTCTAATTTAAAAAAAAAAAAAGGAACTCCTGGAAGGGTTAATCTGGGGGTTGGGATGATGTGATCTAAACCTGTGAGAATCTGAGGCGATTAACCCGATGCATAGGGCTTAAAGAGGGCCACGCGATTCTCACGTCCTCGGAGAGGGGAGGAGGAACAGCGCGTCTTTACCTCTTAAATGCGTTCTCGGCGAGCTAGGTTTATATCAAGTGACAGAGCTAGGGAATGGCGTGAGCAAGATTGGCGGGCTGGCACTTTGAGGCGCGGGCAGACCTTCCAGGGTGGACGATGCGGTCGTGCGTGCTGGGCGCATGCGGCGTTCGGAGGACG